GGACAATCGTCTGTTACTTTTACCGATCTTGCCCTTCAAGGTTGCCCTCTCAAAAGTCAGGGCTGCCACCTCCAGTGCCACTGCCGAACCACCACAGCTCACTTCACTCCCATCTTCTTCGGAAACGGCGGAAGACCGGAAAAAGGAGGATAGAAGGGTGGCTAAATGGGGCCGTATGCTCGTGCCTGCTGTCAGAGATTCTGGTGCAAACATAGCTAGATGGAAGTTTGACAATAGAAAAGAGAGGAAACTAGAGGTACGCTGAATTGATTTGGCGGTCTCAATCAGGCATGTTGATTCCCATTCAGGAACGTGTCTACAAGGGCATTCCAGACCGGTGGAGAACCGCTGCCTGGTACACACTCATGGAGAGAATGGCCAGCTCATATACGTTTGACGCCGCTGTACAAGCGAGGAAAAGTGGCCAGGATTTCAAGAGAATCGAACAATTACAAATTGATTACCGAGTGAGTTGTACGAGACCTGCACGTTTCCTTCTCTAATGCGCCAACAGGAAGCTATCGATCTACCATCGACCTTTGATATCCAAATCGATTTAGATGTCCCGAGAACCATCAGTGGACACGTGATGTTCAAAACTCGTTATGGCATGGGGTAAGTTTCGATCCTCTGAATAGAACTGTCGAGTCCCAATCTGACAAAATACAGTCAACGATCCATGTTCCATGTACTACATTCTTTCTCTCTACTTTGTTCCAAATGCGGATATTGCCAGGGAATGGGCCCATTAGCAGCTACATTATTATGCTACATGGAGCCAGAGGTGTGTGCCCACTCTCTTGGCCTTGTATTTGAGGAAATTCTGACGTATTACTGCAAACAGAAAGTGTACACCTGCCTAGTCCGACTTCATGACAATTACGACATGCACGAAACATTTTTGCCAGGGTTTCCTGGGCTCTTGGAGGCCTTCTATGTGCAAGAAAAGATCATGCAAAAGACCTTACCCGGAATATATGCCGTCTTTGTTCGTGGATTCCTTCTCTTCACCTCTTCTATTCTAACATTTTGCAGAAAAAGAATATGATATCTACAACCGCATATGCTGTCAAGTGGTATATCACACTCTTTGCAAATACCGTATCCTACCAAACCCAACTACGATTATGG